TCAACGTCATTCAAATACCTTTACATTCAAAGTCATTTACTTATTTCTTGCATTTAAACGCTTTTCTTCTATTCGAATCCTTTACATTTAAGAAACTCTTTTACATTTCATGCTTTTATATTCATGCTTTTGACATTAAAGTCTTTACATTCAAAGTCATTTACTTATTTCTGCATTTAAACATTTCTTTGCAATCGAATCTTTATTCATTCAATTCAGTTTTGTATTTCTTTACTTGATCATGTCATTAGATTCTTTTAACATGGTAATCGAAGTGAATTGAACGTCTATAAAACATTCTAAATACAAATCCTAACTATGAATATCAGTTTTGCAATTAGATTTATCCAAACGACCAATACCCCATAGGATCAATCTAGTCGATCCTGCAAGTTACCAGAGAGATTAAATAACAGTCATTAAGATTATTTGATAGTTTAGAGGACTAGCGGTTGTTTACCAGAAATCACTGTAAACACCTACCTAGGAGGAGGTTAGATAATGAAGTGTTCAACAATGGACACTGGTTGCCCACTTGGTCCATGGATGAGATATTTCAGGTTACACACAACTACAATACTCAAGAGTTTATTATTGACATTTTTTGTATCTCAAAATTTTCCCTCCTATTTCTTCAAGACATCTTCCTAGGGTTCTCAAATGCTCAAGGTTGCTCAAGAATTGATCAGACAAATTCTCCTTCTAAGCAATGGCCTACAACTAAGGTTTTGTATTTATCAAGAAAGATTGGGTTTTTTAAGTCTCAAGTGGATTTCATAGTCTCTTATATGTCTCCAATAGTGCTTATGCCAAATTTCCAGCCTTGCATCACAAGTTTGCTCAATCAATTGCTCAGATGACTGAAAATCAACTATATTGGATAAAAAGTCAATTATGGTTAACATACAGTCAAACTTCAAGATTTCTGGTAAACATCAACATTTTGAAGTCATATTCATCATTTGATCAAGTGTTGATCATGATTCATCAAGGAAAACTCTCAAATCATCAAAAGTCAAAAGTTGCCAAATTAGGGTTTCCTAAGGAGAAGTCAACTAAACTTTGACCAAGCATAACTTTCACATGTTTCATCATATTTTCCTCAAAGAAATATCATTTTGAAGGAAATTCAATTCTCTACAACTTTGTCTCTCTAAGCTCAAGTCCAAAAAATGCTTCATTTGAGAGATATGAGCCAATACATTATAGGTCATTTCAAAAGTCAACAAAAAGACACTTTTTGTCAAGGAAACTTACATCAATATAAATCTTTAAATTCAAAAATGGTCAACATAGAGATTTTAAAGGACATCTTGAGCTTTCCAAAAAGTCCTAGATCACCTTCAAATGATAAAAATTGAGAGAATTATGACCAGTGCAAGTTGGGAAATTTTGAGCAAATGCATGAAGTTTAAATTGAGAAAATTTGATTTTTTGGGCTATTGGGCTATTGTTTCAGAGTCCAAATGTGTTTTACACTCCATATTCACCTCAAGACTTGTTCATACACCTCCCTTTGATTTATTATATTTTATTTTTGATTTTTATTCATTTAAAGGTCAAAATAAAACAAAATAAGACAAAGCTTATTACAAGAGTCCAAGCCCATAATATGTTGACTTAATTCCATGCTATATATTCCCCTCAAATCAGACAAGTTGGCCACGAAAAAAACTTATGCAAAAGTTATCCAAAAATCACAAAAAGTTATCAAAACTAAGGGAACTTGTAACCCTAGCTTGCAGCCAATTTCAAGGCCTCCTAACCAGTCCATTCACTTCCAGGGACGCAAAAGAGCAAGAATGGATCAATTTACATGATCAAAAGGGTGTAAAAATATACATACATATTGCATCGGTTTTGACATTACATGAATTTCATATATTTATTTTCCTTACATTTCAACATGTACTAACTCATTTAGCATGTTCCTGAGGTCCAACAATGCATGAATTACCTATTAGGAGAGTACCATAATTTTTATCTGAATTTTTTTGCTTGGTGATCTATTCACCCCCCCTCTAGGTAAGGCGTCATCGTCTAACAGGTCTGAAATCAAACATTGGAGCAGACGAATGGATTTTATGATGATCTTTCCTTCATTATCGAACCAATTAATCCTTTCAAGGCTGTTCCTAGAGAGAACGTCGTGGGTGTTCCGGGAATATTGGATCTAGGAGTTGACGTTTAAGGATATTTTTGTCCCCTTTTTATCCTGTTTTTTTTTTGTTCCTGTAAGTTTTATCGGGATTTTGTTCATGTTTTTGCTTGTGCTATTGGTTTCATATTATGCTCCTTTTAATCGTAATTTTGAGCTGTATGAGAGCTGAAGAGCATCATGGTTTAATTTTGAGCCATGTAGTTTATACATTTTGTTTTCTATAAAGAGAGATAAAAATATTTACTTAAAGTGTAAATAACCTTAAGTTCTTTGCGAAGCCATGTTTGGCTGTTTTATTCCCGAGCATGTCGCATTAAGATGTACACATTTTTTTAGTAAGATGTTGGTCCTGCTAGATGTGACCATTCTTCCAATTCCTAACTGTGAGGCATGAGACCGGTTATATGCAACCAAGCATTGAATCATATATGTATGGAATAGGCATAAAAATGGCTAGATGTGGTCTTGCTTTGAACCTGCATTTATAATAAAATTGCATGAAATCGGCTAGATGCGACCATGCTTTGACTTGCTCGCCGCGTTACATAGGATCATTCCCCGACCAAGGGTAGAGGATCCTCATCCCTACCCAGAGGTAAATATCGAATCCAGATAGACATCTCCGGATTCCACCAGCCACGTCCCTTTAATGGGTTAGATCCAAAATGGGGGTGCGTCAGCTACACAAAAATGACTTTAGTTCTTTGAGAAAAGGCATTTGATTAATGTAGTCATACATGCAAAGCGTCTTCGACAATACCTCTAGGGGAATTGATTGTTGTAGTTAGGCATGCAAAGTGTCTTCGACAACAACCTTGAAATATTTAGGCGCACTCAACACTGTGGGGAGTTGATTGTTGTATTCAGACGAGCAAAGTGTCTCCGACAGTACCCTTAAAATCTTTAGGTGCACTCAATAATATAGAGAAATAATTGTTGTAGATAAACATGCAAAGCGTCTCCAGAAGCACCCCTAAAATATTTATTTCGGGCATCAATTGCATTGGTTGTACCCTGATTTACTGTTACGTGCATTCACATTTTGGTTCCCTAAAGAGGGGTTAAGACAGAAAGCAGAGCAACACGAATATAATAACAATACATATATAATTTTCAATTAACTATTATATCAATAATTGCAACTAAGCAATATATTTTCAAATATATTAATTAAATACTGCAGTCGGTCGTAGGTATATACCAATCGCCCACCCTCAGATGTTTGTCCAGGTAACTCGATTATCGTCTAATCTGGAGGACGACATCCTTGGCTTGAAGATGGTTGGCCTCTGATGGACGTGCCCAATTTTACTTCTCGATGTTGAGGTGGCCCATCGCCTCTAAGCTCTATGTTTTCTCCAAGATGCTCCGGTTACCTGTCGTTCGACTGGAAACGACAAAACTCTGGTCCGTTCAACCCATTCTCAAATAGAAACCCGAGTGCTTCTATGTTGAATCTGTCCAACTGGAGTGTTGGACGGTGATCAGATGTGGATACCAATAAGTCTTCTGGAAGACGAGATCTAAGATACATTCACTGCGTGTTTTCACTGGACTCTTGTTTCACTATCTGGTCGATGGAGACCCCTGGGCATTATGTGGAAATTATATGGTATCCATATGATGTACCCCAATATTTGTTCGGCGCTCTGTGTTAACTACGAACTTGCGATACACGAGCACCATTTATTACGAACTTGCGATACCTTCTTGATGTTGCCTTTGCAACTACCCTAGATGTGGCGGAAAGCGTGGGCGCCTCCGGTCAGTTGGTGGTTTGCGGTTACCCCCGACTTGCATGGAAATTGCCTTCGGAAGCTAACGCGATTCTAAATTTGGATATGAGATCATTTTCTCCGTTGTTTAGTGAGATTTTTTTAAGGAAATCATAGATATTGACGGAGAAGTCCAGGATGAGGCATTGACTAACTGAATTGACCACAGTAAACCTCCGTGTTCACTTCTAAGTATCGTCGATTCTGATACCTAACGAGGCACGAACGAAGAAATCGAATTGTGAATGCAAATCTGCAGAGATCGTACATATCGAAAGGTTGAACCCGCTTCTGATTCAATGCTACAAGGATTTTACGAGTTGGTGAATAAAAAATTGGATATGAAATTATGGACATCGTAGGAATCAAAAGTTGTTTCCCACATACGACACCACTATTCTGTGGCAGAACCAAAAATGGAGGAGATTGTAGAAGCTACGACGAAGCGAAGCTTCATGGGTAATTCAAGGATGTAACTTCTTGATCCGAAGATTGTGATCGTGATGTGTCTTGAATCAGAGGCGTTGATCTTGAACTGGTGTTGTTAATCTCCTATACGGTGGACCTATGAGATTGCTTACATGATTAACACTTCAACGCTTAAGTCAGTTAGGATTCAAAATAATCATAATGAAAATGGAGATTATAAATTATGTACTTGAAAATCCCTTATAAAGATATTTATACCTTAGATTTAATGGAATTGACATGATAAGTGAGTCTTATCTTATTAGACCTTTAAGTGATACGAAACACATAACTTAAAGAATTAATCGATCCAAATTAATTGACTAAATAAAAGGTGAACATTTTGATAACTCTAGAGTTTGACTACCTATCCATTATTAATCTATAAAATTATTTTAAAATTTTAAAAATAACTTATTTAAAATAAAATAAAAAATTTACCCAAAAATGCCTGCATCTAACTAAAATTTATGTATACATACAAATTAACCTAAATAAAATTTAAAATTTATGCATAGAAATTTTCTTGATTGAGTCACTTCTCTTCTATTCTCCGTACGTGAAATCAAAGTGGCGCCGAGAGAGAGTTAACGCAAATGTCAGGACGCAACCACCACCACCATCTCCACTCATCTCTCCCTCGCCGCGACGAGCCTCGCCTCTCACATTCCTCCACCGCCTCCGCTCGCTCCCTCCCGGTCACCGCCCTCGAAGACCGCATCAACGCCCGCCACCGTGAACTCCACTCCCTCCTCCTCGAAAACCAGCGTCTCTCCGCCACTCACCTCGCCCTAAAACAAGACCTATCCGCCACTCAACTAGAACTCCGTCAGCTCTCCGTTTCCGCCGCCGATGTTAAAGCCGAACGAGACGCGGAGGTGCGCCGGATCTATGAGAAGTCGTTGAAAATGGACGCCGAGGTACGCGCTGTCGCTGCCATGAAATCTGACCTTGATCAAGTGAGGGATAGTGTGCGGGAGCTTGCGGCAGAGAGGAAGGAGCTCACGACGCAATTGCAGGCCATTCAGAGTGAACTCGATTTGGCTCGTAAGGATTCGAAGTCTTTGCCGGCTATTAAAGGTGATATTGAAGCGTTGCGCCACGAGATTCAACGGGGAAGGTAAAATTGAATTTCCCTGTGTTGAACTCTTGTAATGGTTTTGTTTTTTTTATTTGTGTTTTTGAAGTATAGTTTGTGTTAATGGCTTTGGTTGTTTTTGGATTGAGGGCCTATTTGATCAACATGTGAGAATTGTTTGAGATATTGTGTAGGGGTTTATCTAATGACATATTGTTTGAGATAACTTATGAAAACCTATGTCATCATACTTGGCCGTTCTGGCCGTTATCTCAAGACTGAGCGGCACAATAGAAAACTGTGTCAGGCTGTGCGTTATTATCCTTAATGGAACGACGCCGGGCCGAGAGCACCGCGGCAACGGTATATGGTATTGCTTTAGACTTATAGCTTTTATTTCTAACTATAAATATTTCATGAATTGAGTAATTTTAGTTTAGTTTTTAACAGTTATGTGTTTATTAGTATTAACTGTATTACTATTGGTATTCGTGTCACTAAAATAACATTCGTTCTGCTCCCGCTTCCCGCACTCGTTCCGCTCCATATGGCCATGCTGTGATGCTATCCGAGATTGATAACATAGATGAAAACAACTTCTGACATGTTTTTAAATTGTTTTTAGCTTATTTTTATAAGCTCTTCAAAATAGTTTATGAATACAGCTTATAGCTTATACCTTATATGTGAACGATTTGACTTTGTTTTATTTTTTATTTATGGAAATAGCTTATAATAAGTGCTAATATATGATAAGGGTTTATGCTATAAGTTGCAAATTAAGTTATTTATCCAAATAGGGTGGCGAGGGATCCTTCTAATCTCAAATGGATGAATAATGTTCTAAATTTGGGGTTGTATTTCTGAATTTGACAGAGAACTTGCTCCTATTAGTGTTGGGGTGTGAGAACAATTATTTGTTGCTGCATTGGTGGCATGTGCAACAAATAATTTTTGACTTATGACTTATGAGGAATGATATAATTTTTAATGATGGTAAATTTAAATTCACTATAACTAATATACTAAACCTCGTTAAATCACTGAGTTGGTTCTGGATCAAAGTAAAGGCGGCTGATGTTCCCAAATAAATAATCTTTATCAAGTTGGTGCATGAATCCTATATCTTGTAATCTTCGACATTGTTAAGTAATATGAGTTGCATGGATAGATTATTCTGCACATTAGGAGTGCTAGAGGCTAGTTTTTTTTTTGTTTTTTTTAAATGGTTGTATCTGAGTGGTCTTGGATAGAAGCATAGTTCTGGAAAGAATATTATGGCAGAAATTGATTCATGTAGCCGATCCCACTTAGTGGGATAAAGCTTGGTTGTTGTTGTTGTGGTTGTATTTGAGTGGTCCATTGAATTGTAGGTGGTTTTGGCCAAGTAATTCTTCAAGTATTTGCTATTATGGGACAACTTCTGGTGTTTTTGTGGTTATTTTCCTTGTTAGGCCAATGGGGTGGCTCAAGATCCCATTGTAGTTGGTGTATGTAATAGGCTATATAACATTTGTAGGGAATCTTTGCTTAGCTAGTTTTGCATCGTTGTTACTTTATATATGCGGGAGACTATGCTCTATGTTATTTAGTTGCATCTTTTTGTATTAGACTTCTTGTATTATTTACTCCTGCTCTGCTCTACTTCCTGTACTCAGTTTTTTGGAAGCCATTTAATGAATTCATTTTTTTCTTTCTAAATAAACTGTACAAAATGATTGAAAAAATAAAGGGAGATGTAAACCCTAGGATTTGAGCTTGAAGAAACAAAGGAGTGCTTTGAGTTTTACCATAAAACTGTACAATCTGTGTGATCCAATGCTTTGTGGTAAAAGTTTACTAGAAAAAAATTTAATGTTCAGTGAGGATGTTATAACTGATGATTGGACAGTGAGATAAGATAGGATTGGGAATGAGTGCACGGGGTGATTTTGGTGTAAAACCTGCTATTAAAAATATGGTAGAATCTCAAGTGGAGGTTGGTTCAATAATTAGAGAGGGCGACTAATAAAAACTATAGACTAAATTATTAAGGATTTGTATTTAAATGGTTAACCATTTGACATGATTTATGGTAAGACATTATGGCATCCATTGAATTAATTCCACCCAGTTGAAAAATCTAATTGTCTGGTTTTGTTCAGTGTTAGAGGCTGATGACTGAGTCTTTATTTATTTATCTGATTACTTGTTGGACTTATTCCTTTTGTCTTATATTAATCCTATTAAGTTGTGAAAATTATTTTTCCCCTTCACGAAGAACTTGTTAATGTGTTATTGTATTTATCAAGTTATGATTTATTGTTAAGTGTGTGAAAGCATGTCTGATTCATATTTTACTTTTTCCCTGTTTGTTCTGATTTCAATATTAAATCCTGCACTCAGTCAGTTCCTTATCAAACTCTAACCAAAATGATATTTGATTTGATCTAGACTCGATGTCGTACATACACACTTCCTTTTATTGATCCCAACTCCCAAATATATCTATTTTCTTTTTTTTGTTACAAAACTAGTCTTTTCTGCACCTACTCAGATGCTTCGATAAAAGTCACCGTAAGAAACATTGGCCATGTTTTAACTTTGATTCTGTGATGCATGTAGGAATGCCATTGAGTTTGAGAAGAAAACACATGCTAATAACCTAGAGCAAAAACGTGTAATGGATAACAATATGATAATTATGACCCGTGAGGTTGAAAAATTACGTGCCGAGCTTGCTAATGCTGAGAAGAGAGCAAGGGCTGCCATTGTTGCTGCTGCAAACCCAAGTAATTTGACTTGGTCATTCATTTTGAAGTGCTTATTTAATAATACAGCCAAAATATAAATTGAGACTTTGATTTAAGCTCGTGTTCTGAATCCATGGAGTTGTTTCTATACAGGTCCGGGATATCATGCAAACAATCCTGATATGGGGTTTGTTGGAATCGCATACCCTCCAGATACTTATGGCATGCATCAGGTATGTTGCAACATTACTCACTTATTTTATTTACTTTTCACGTGATACATATAACCTCAGGAATTATGTTGTCAAATTATACATAAGTTTGCATCTGAAATACGATTTAAATAAATTTAAATATGCAAACCTTTTCTTGAATGTGAACATTGTTTTTTTTAACGGATGAACAATTTAAATAAATTTAAATATGCAAACCTTTTCAGATCCATGCTGGGATTGAAGCTCGTCCGCAATATGCATATGGGGCAACATTACATCATCCTTAATACCTTCAGCAGACACAAGGGCCAAGATAGTTTTCAGCTATACTTTATTTTATGAAAGAGAGGAAATTTTTTTAACACTGTAGCATATCACAAACATTCCCCTAAAATTATCGGTTTCAATAACTGCTTATAACTTTGCTGATATCTGAAAATGATGTGTATATATTCCTAAGTTTGTATGAGAAACATGTGAAATAGATATGATAGAGCCAACAACATATATTTGTTCATCTAACTCTTTGCATTTCTTCCTAGTCATGCTCATCACTTTTCAATGCTCTTATTTTAATTTGTATTGTATCTTCTTTTATGGGTCAGGATTAAATTACACTACGGTGTCAAACTTAATAATATGGCACAACATATAATATATGTTGTGCATGAAAATTGGTGAACTCATCAAACTTTAACCACTAATATTCCTGATAAAGTTTGGCATGAAAAAGTGTTAGCTTTTTTGTCAATAATTCAATTTCTTTAAACATTGAATAGAAAATGGTTTAAAGCTTTCATAGACTTTGATATTTATGAAATCTTACAATTTTCATTTGGAAATGAGTGAATTAAATTCTTGATTAGTTTAGATGATTTCTTTTTTCACTCTATAGTTTTCTAGTGCACCAAGTGAAGTTATGAAAATATTTTTGGAAATCAGAAATATATTTTTGGGACGCACTAAGATTTGATAAAATATAGATTGAAACCGAAATTTAATTTTTGGTTTGTATCTAGACTTACATTTCCGATTTTGTGCTACACAGAAAGTAGAAAAACAACATTGAATAATATCAATTTCACAAATTCAAAATATAATTCATATTATAATATAGGTAATACATTAAGGATTGAAACATACACCAAATATTACACTTCAACGTCAATGCAGATGTTGCAACGTCGTTGATAATATCATCTAACGGGTAAAAGTATGCCACATAGCCCGTATATCAGCGTCGTTCTTCAACTCACAGTTGATGAACTCAAGCTTTCCATCTTTGCCAACGGATGGCGAGTAGTACTCGATCTTCACAACTTTGCAATTGTCGCCATAAGGTAGCAGGTCCTGCAATATGTCTTGCAGATCTTCAAGAGGGGTGTAGTCAGTGAACTTATATTCTCGTGATAGTTTATTACCAGTAAAATGGATATTTCCAACATTGCCATTTGATGTTTATTATGGTTTTTGGTGTTTTGGTATGAAACAATATGCCAAGTGAGATTATTTATAGTAGTTGAAGACAAACACGGACCTTACAAATCCTATCATATGACAAAGTATAAATTGGAATTTCATTTCCGGTTCCACTTAAAATATGCATTAAAAGTATATTTTTGGCAAGTCCACTGGTACTAAAAACCAGAACAGAAACAAAAGCATACATAGAAATAAAAACAAAAACCTCATGTATTGAAAAATAATATTTTTGGTCAAACTATAAAATGGCTATATTCCACAGCATAATACATTGACAAAATGACATATACAATAAAAAGATACCTAACTACTTAAATGATTCGAAATAATTGTCGTCGGCCAAATTCACACGTGCTATCTCTTTTGACTTTTCTCTATTTTTTTTCTATTTCAATTTTGTTCAACTTGTTGTAGTCTTGCATCTTTTCAATAAATTGGTTCGACCAGGTCTCAGAAGGGCTTGTGTAATGATTCGCCCACTCTGGTGACGTAAGTGGTATTAGACAACTGGTTTCAAATATACTTGAACAAAATGTTGCGGATTTGAAATCCATCCAACACAGATGATACAATCATTGGAATTTGGTGGTGGAGCAGTGTGCGACGAGAAAAAAGTTTTCGAGAAACTGTATCTTGTAAGATTAATACAGTTTCTCATACGCACTTGCTATCAGATGACCCATCTCAGGGAAGGACATGCATTTTTTCTCCAGTGCAAATCAACTGACGCTAGGTACTAGCGCGTCATAAATCTCTTCAACTTTTTCATTAGTCCCGAGCACACGTTTGTATAATTCTCTATTGCTCCTCAACTTTCTGATAAGAGTATCTCAGACAATATGATGATCCTCTTCCCCTTTACCGAACAAACCCGAAACGGCTCGAAAACCATAGTTATCGTCACCCTTGACATTGACGATCTGTTTAATGTACATGTGCATAAAAACCGACATCTCCTCGATGAATGATATTTTTGGTGGAGTCGGTGTAGGAGGTGGTTTGCTAATACAGGCTCATTTGAAGAAGAAAAAAAACTATTAACTGAAAATACAATTCCAGTATTAGCGTAACATTTTTCAAGAAAAAAATCAGATTAATGTGAAGAATGAGGATTGAAATGAATAAACTTTACTTTAAATTCCACTTCCTTGAGCTCTTTTTGATATGATGAACCACAAGAATAAAGATTTGGATTGAAAAAATGGATTGAGAATGGAAGGGTTTTGAGAGAGTTTGTGGAAAGATGAAGAAATGAGGACGATCATCTTTCAACATGCTGATTACTGTTTTAAGTAATATGCATTTTTCATAATACCAGAAATATATTTCCGACAGTATAGAAAATGGACATGGTGACAGAAAATCCAGTCTTCCCACTATACAAATTAGAAATATAATACCGGTGGAAACCGAAACTATAATTCTAGTTTTGTTTTAGTCTTTTGAATAGGGTGGAATTACATTTGGTTTGTTTGTGTGTTATACATAATGCACACCGAAAATATATTTTCAATTTCTATCGACATTTTAGGAATTGCGTAGGATTTTTCTTTTCACTATATGATGGAAAGAGAATTTTTCTTAGTTAAACCAGACTGATTTCTTAAAAAACCCAGTAATTCAAGATTCTGTTTGTTTTTCTTCTACATCATTATAAACTAGCACTTTACTGATATGATCAGCATATAAATTTATAGAAATGCATAATTCAAGGAAACGTCCAGAATAACATTATAACTAATATTATTTTGTGGTTTTTAAATGAGTGTAAATAAAAGTTTGAAGTTCACATTAATTCATGGAAACATTTAAGTGTTTGTTTTTTAGTCACAACTTATTTTGAAGCATAAGTTTTTGATACATATTAACTTTGTTTAGTAAGTAGGGATGTCAACGGAGCAGAGAATATTTGGAGGATATTTCTCTGCTTTCCGCCTCAACTTCAAATTTGTTTTCCATCTCCATCCTTAATCTCCATCACGGGGAAATATTTTCTTCCATCCTTATTTCCACAGATTCTCACGAAGATTCACAGAGATCGAATCTTAAAAAATTTTCTATACTTCTCAATCAAAACTATGACACTAGTATTTTATTATTTTTTCTTTTTAAAAAACACATATATTTAGCAACTTTCTTTTTTAAAAAATAAAAAATACATATGGCATCAATAAATGAAAAAAAGGTAAAAATACTTATAGTTGCTAATATTTTTCTATAAAAAATAATAAATATTAATAGAACTTGTTGTTACCATGCTTCCGCTAATTTATTACTATAGTACCGCTTTTGTCCAGCGCAAATGATTGATTATGTGTGAGTGTGGCAAATCCATAACTACTAGTTTATTAATTGAATGAAAAACATGTTACTAATAAAAGTAAAATGAATTTGAAGATTAATTATCATAAGCACAATGAACAAATGAGAGTGGTTGTTGTGAAGATGATGAGAATATAGGAGATGATGAATGAAGGAGTCAAAGATAATTAAGAAGAAAAAAAGAGGAGACAATGTGTATATTCTATGTATTAGATGCATTTTTTTAGGGTTAGATACTTGAGTAGTGATTGGAGGAACTTTTCCCTCCATCCCCGTCTCCGCGGAAGAAAAATTCTCCAACTTTGATGCTCCGTACAGATAATCTTTACAGGGATCCCCGTTAACATATGCAAATTAACATCCTATTAGTAAGTTTAGTTTGTAGTTTTTTTAATACATATTCTTTTCTTTTCACTTTTTAAAGTCAGTTTATTGTGTACTCTATCTGTTTTAAAATGATTGTCGTTTTAATAAATAAGCTTTGTTTTAAAATGACAGTCATTTTCATTTTTTAATATAGTAATAATTACTATTTTTTCAATTGTGCTATTTACTTTTTACTCTCTACACTACTTTCAATATTTAAATAAGATTAATTTTATAAAAATGTAATGTCTTATGATAACATCACTGCATTCCTTAATTTGTATGCAAAAACTTTAAACGACATTCATTTTGAAACGGAGAGAGTAATATAAATATTTTATTATACTTCATCCGTTTCAAAATGAATGTCGTTTAAGGTTTTTTCACACAAATTAAAGAACGCAATGATGTTGTCATAAGACATTATACTTTTATAAAATTAACCCTATTAATGTATTGGAAGTAGTGTAGATAATAAAAAGTAAATGACACAATTGGAAAAATAGTAATCATTACTACATTGAAAAGTCACTACGCCAAAAAAGACTTACGAAAGCGCTTTTTTTGGCCTTTAAAAGCACTTAAAAGCGCTTTCTAAGGTGGCGCTGCTATAGGTTTTAGCAGCGTTTTTTTTAAATGAAAAGCGCTTTCGTAGGTCTACCTAATACAACACTTTTTCTAAAAAGCGCTCTCTTAAGTAGGCTTTTGGCAGCGCTTTTTTATGAAGAAGCGCTTTCATAGGTCTACCTAAGGCAACGCTTTTTTCTGGAAAAGCGCTCTCATAAGTTTTCTTTTAGCAGCGCTTTTTTCTGGAAAAGCGCTGTCTTAGGTAGGCTTTTAGCAAGGCTTTTTTCTGAAACAATCAACAAACACTGTTGGGATCTAAAACAAATAGAATCAATGTTTTTTACAAATGAATCTCAGAATGTATAGAAAATAAATCAAATCTTACAGAACAAATAAAATAAAATAAATACATTATAGAATCGAATCAATTACAAACGATTTCAACCCCTAATTTTCCTAATCACTCTAAATCTAAGCTCTAAACAAACTTGTAACGATGTTTTGCAAAATCTGAAACCCTAAGCCCTATAAATAGCTAAAGAAGAATACAGAAAAGGGGGGAAGATCTGAAGACGGAGCA